TACTACTACTACTACTACTACTACTACTACTACTACTACTACTACTATTTACAGATAATTTTCAACCACAATGGAGGCCAGAATTTTGGTCATGTCATTGTGGTTATAAGTCAAGGCACACACAACCAGACTTGATTTTATAACCATTTTAACAATGGTCATAAGCAATTACCATGGTTGTTAAGTGAATCATGTGGCTGTTAAGCAAATCCAGCATATCCAATTGACTTTTTGGCCATTTTCTGCTAATTGTGGTCACATGACCATGGGACACAGCAACCAGTCCTCAATGCTGGCTGGTTGGCAAAGCCCAAAATGCAATCATGTGTCTTCAGGCCTCTTTGTGTGTGACAGTCATAACTTTGCGGATGGATCATAAGTAGCTTTCTTGTCTTGTCCTTCATTATTTTGAACAGCTGTTAAGTGCCAGGTTATAAGTCAGAGTCTTTGTATATGCATTCAGATCAATCCCTCTTCCATTGTTTGTAACTAGTTCTTCATTATCAATTAATTGGGGCTTTCAACCCTTTGTTATTGCTATCCTTTAAGTTATGTTTCCTGTCTGCTTTCTATAATTTTGTATATCTTGATCATGTCTTCATCCAGTCACATTTGTTTTCTGAGGTAAATCTTCAGTGTTGTGTCTCAAAGAACATGTGTTCAAGCCCCCGAGTCATTTTAATTATAGTCTTTAATGTTTTTTCCATTTCTGTTATATCCTTCTTGAGATGTGGCAGCAGAACTACACACAGTTTTCCACATCTGGAGAAGTAGACTTAGATGACTACTCCAAGGCAATGCAGATGTTAACAGGATTGTTTATTTCTTCACTTCTGCTCCTTACTTTTGTTTCCGGTTTACAAAACTGTGCAGTATACTGAGCCATCTAGTGTTCCCACTGTAGATTGCATAAAAAAACAAAAAGTAAGAGAAATGTTATGACAAGAGATTGACAGTGCTTCTAAAGCAGGGTTTCTCAACCATGGCGGTTTTACGTTGCGTGGACTTCAACTCCCAGAATTCCTCAGTCAGACAAGCTGTCTGGGGAATTCTGGGAGTTGAAGTCACGCATCTTAAAAGTTGCCAAGATTGAGAAACACTGTTCTAAAGTAACATATTACTGCTAGTGCTTTCTCATCCAATTGAATGACTGCTTTTTGTAATCCAGGATAGATGGAGATGTTCTTGTGAGATGTATCAAACCAAAAAGATTCAGGTTCACTATCAGCCATTAAGGTTCAGGGACAATTTTGAGCCAATCCTCTCTCTTCACAGCCAACATCACAGGGTTGTTTTTGAACAGATGTTGGAGAAGATATTGCTATGCATGCCACTGAGCTCCTAGAGGAAACTCAAATAAAATGAAATTGTGAATTTACTTTTATATCCCATCAGTGTGTTCTAGCCAGTTTCTGGAAGCATCTGAACTGAAATAGTTTGATGGTCTTTTCATTCCTGTCCCCTTTTGTTCTTCTTTTTGCTGTCTTGCTACTTTGTTTGTCAACACTGCCACACTTGTGTATTTCACTAACTTGACATCTGTTCTGTTTCAGGAGAAATCTGATGCCAGCTCCACATCCCTACAGCTGCAATCCCAGATTGAAGTAAGCACAATGGATTCAATTCTTTATTTTTGCTCCTGCATCCATCAGATAATAAAGCTTTTGGTTGTTCAGCCTCAACTCAAAGCAATGAATCTTCTCTTCCAGGAATCCCTTGGCTTTAGCAGTGTAGCATCCACACCAGAAATAGAAAGAAAGTAAGTAGGCATTTATACTTCTGCTTTACATTCTGCATGAATTACTAATTCATATCAAAGGGTTTTACTTTTACGTGACCACATCACAAGATTCAATAAGCGGCAGCCTTTTCTTTCTCTGCCACCGGTGTATTTCCCCCCCGATTTCTCTCAAGTTATATTTTCTTGTCACTTTCTCTTTTTACAAAATAGTGTCTGCTCAAATAACAAGACTGATAGAATTAAAATGTATTGATTTTGCACTATACAAAGAATAATGTAACTTCTCCAGTGGGTAAAATAGTGTAGGAAACTAGCAGCTCGGGTCCCTTTGACCAGCTTCAGGGTTTTGTAGATCTAAATTTCATAGTTTCAAAAATAGTTACAAGAAGGTGGGCAGAGCAGGATATGATTTCGCCTATTGCCATAGGAAGTATGGTACTAGGCCCAGGCACCTACACAAGAGCATATCATTTGAGAACGGAAAGTCATTCCCAAGTCCCCAAGGGGATTACAGGCATTTGAAACGCAACTGAAATTTAAGTAGACATAATGAGTGAGCTGATCTTCTCAGAAATGTGTCCTCCAAAGTTCCAAATGTGACACGAAATGCAACTCCAGGGTGGGGGTGGTGCAGTGGCTATTATTCTGGAGCCACTAATGACTTTTATGGATGCTCCCTCAAACATAGCCGGATATGAGATTTTCTTCGTGAAATTGGGTCTCGAGGATCTTCCTGTTTTTCTACCTTCTACCTGGTTCAACTCCTTTCTCCATGGCCGGTACCAATCAGTGCTAGTGGGGGAAGAGAGGTTCCTATATATGGATTGCCTCAAGGTTCTCTCCCCTCCTATTTAACATCTATATGGAGCCACTGGAGAGGCCATCTGGTTTTCAGGATCTTCAATTTTCTGATGATATCCAATTATGCATCTCTACCCCATGCAAAGCAAATGATGTTCAGGAGCTAGATCAGCATCTGGTGGCTATAAGGGCCAGGCATAGGGAGAAATCAGCTATGACTCATCCCTAGCCAGATGGACTGATGACAGGATTTTGGCACTGAGATTCAGGAGAGTAGACATCTCTGACTCTGGATGAGGGTTATATCCCTTCCAGGGGAGGGTGTGCAAATTGGGGTCTTTTTAGACTCATGGTTCTTCCTGGTAGCTAAGGGGGCTTTTGCACAAATCTGCTTTACACCAGTTGCATCCATTCCTGGGTCAAGAGGCCTTCCACATGGTCACCCACGTCTTAGTCACCTCCCGCTTGGATTACTAAAATATGCTCTGCCTGGGTGTTCTTTTGAAGACCATGTGGAAGCTGCAACTGATCCAGAATTCAGCAGCATGCACAGTTCTGCCTATGGCCATGGGGTCATGGTTCACCCAAATAACACCACTGCTGTATGACCTGCATTGGCTTCCAGTTGTTTTCAAGGTGCAATTCAAGGTGCTGGTAATCATCTTTTAAGCCCTTCATGGCCCAGGGCCAGGTTACCTGTAGGACTGCCTCTCCCTGAGGGTATCTGGCAATACAAATTCATATAATCTGCTTGTAATAGCAGCAGTCCCACAATTCATCTCACTTTTTTCCTTCTTACATCCTGTGTAGGATTCTTTTATACTTTTTATCTAATATAAGAAATATTCTTTTGATAACCAGTACAGCTGGAGAGTTAAGTTCTAAAAAAAAATAGGGTGCAGAGGTACTTTAGCTTCCAGAATTTTGAAGCAAGATAAAGGTTAAAATGACTCAAACATTTCTTTGAGAACGTAGTATCCTAATTTTCTTTAGCATTATTTATTTCCTTATGTTTCAATGCATATTCTTCAAGTGGTGTTTTGCTTTAATACTATCTTCAGAGGTTCAGCAGTAATAAAGTTGGCAAGTATTAGAAAGAAGGGCTTCTCAGGGATAATTCTACCAATAAAATTTCCTCCTAAGTCAAAAATTATTCATTTGTCATTCAGTGTTGCAATGGTTACAATCACTCGCCAGTGAGCTGGCAGAATATTCTAGTTCCTTTATGTATTTCTTCTCGCTGGCTTTCTACTGAGATTTTGTACTATTTCCTGCTGGTATATTTGAAATTGTACTTTATTCTAACTGGTTTATTTAAAATAGCTCAGAATTAAGCAGTTTGGTTGTGAATTGCATTGTTATCTTTAAAAGTTCACAGTGCAACAAAGTTATTTAATTGTTACTCCAAAAATAAAGTAAAAGGTAACCATAAACCAGTGGTGGTATTCTACCAGTTCGGCCTGGTTCAGGTGAACCAGTAGTAAAAAATGCTACTTTTCAGTCGAACCTGTAGTAAAAAAAACAGCTAACAGTTCGGCCGAACTGTGTTTTTTTCCCTAACAATCAGCTGTTCTGACAATCAGCTGTGCCGGGATCCGCCTCGCTGTCTTACTGCTTCAACCAGGAAGCTTCTTGAGGCCCAGGAGCCAAAAAGGGGCATGCGGGAGGTGCTACACGGCCCCCATGCACTCCATTTTTTGCCTCCTGAGCCTCAGGGAAGCCTCCTGGGAGTGCGGGGGGGGGGGGCTACAAAAATAGAAGAAGCCATGCCCACCTAACCACGCCCACCTAGCCATGGCCACAGAACCAGTAGTAAAAATATTTGCATCCCACCCCTGCCATAAACGCATTTATGAGGGCATATATGAAAATTAGGTTTTATCCCCCTTCCTTCACATGAATGGCTTCCTAGAAGTGGGTGCTTTGTTGCTTACTAGATTCGCCTTCTTATAGGTGAAATTGAATCTAAGCAGTCAGCCATTTGCAAGTGCAGGATGTCATCAGTAAAAGCAGGTAAAACCACCAGCAAACACACTGTCAAAAATGAGCTTTCTGTGTTTTTTCCTGTCATAGATAAAAATAGTCTAGGTACTGTTGAATCACTTGAGAAGCACACAAATGGCTTTCCAGGTAACACAGTCAATCTTTAAATCACATTTTAGGTATCATCCACGCCATTCTTATTTGTATTAAGCAAATCTCAAGTGATAAAGCCCTTTAAAATTTTAGTCTTTGACTCAAGACTCAACCTCTGACTCATTCTCCTAATCTCTTAACTGAAGGCTGCATTGTATAAAAATTAATAATTAATATTCACACTCCTTCCTAAAATGTTGTGTCACCAATTAAAACTTAAGAAAGTATGGATGAGTTATTTGATCTGTATGAAGAGCCTTGTGACGCATACAGGCTGATCAGGTTTAAATACTCCCTATCACACAGGAAAAGGAAATTGTGATCTGATTTTAGCAAACAAAGGGCATGGGATGAAATCTAGTAACATTTCTTTGTATCCTTGTTTTCAATAACTCTTCCAAACATTTTTTATTTTTTTGCCAAACAAAGGCAAGGCCAGGATTGATTGGTACTCAGTTGGGAAAAAGGTGAGCAGGCTGAAAAATTATGGAGTGTGGGAATGGAGAAAGTTTTCTTATCTCTTTCCTACTTTGCAATTATGAGAACTTCACCTAAAACATAAGAAGCATTCATCCTGCTGCTGGGTCTTATTACTTTCCATAAACCTAAAAATATTTTTTATTGAAGCTCTCCTTTACCTTGAATACACTTAAGCAATATTGATACCTTGTTTAGACCTTTGTAGCATCTTAACTTTTCACCTTCACATATTGAATGGTTTCTGTTATTACAGAATATGCATCACAAGCACAGCATATATCTAAGCAATAATAAATATAAGGTATTATATCTTGAAGGAGTACTAATCACAGAACATCATATAATGTAGAAACTATAGGAATCAAGAATTAAGGATGGAGTAAACCCAACAGCCACTGAACTGTTTATTTTGGTCCTTACAAGAGAGACTCGCAGTGTATAGCATTTTGATTTAAAATGCTTTTATTCCCATTGCATTAATAAATTATATGAAATTTAAAAGAGGTGATTTAGCAATAAATAAATAAACACCAGAGACATCTGTATGATATTTTTGTTGGTAAAAAAATTATATTTCTTTTATATGTTTGAAATCATGTCACTGTAGCAGAGAATTTTAACAGCTGTTCTACTAAATTCTTCAAGGGTAGAATAAAGCTAATGAGAAGGATGAGTTTTCAGACACTGGAAGGGAAAAAGTCTCTCCCAAAGAGACTTTAAAGTTAAAGTTTTCATCGCAGCGCTCAAAAGAATAATTCTGGATCAACAGTATAATTTTCAGAATGTCTTGAAAGCCAAGAGTATATTGCACGCTGTGGCTTATAACAGGTTAGTGTTATATCATACTCAGGTATGCCCTGTCAGTTTGTTTTCACAGACCAGTTCATCTGCAGTGAGATGGTTAAAGCGGGGTTGGAGTGCTGGTTATTTGAAACCCATGTGTGTTTGTCCATGGTGGTAGCCAAAATAAAAATTAAAAAGATAATAATCTCTGAGCTTCCCTGTGTTCTGCCACTGAAAAATATACACAGCCATACCCCGTGGTTACAGATAGCAACTCCATCTGTAGAGTTTCAAAATAAGGCCTCTGCCCTGTTTAGAGTACCTGACATCTGTTCCAAGTCTGTGAGAATTGAGTTGGTGGTTTGGTCCAATTTCCCTTGGACAAATATCTCAACAACTACCATAACATTTGGTGTTAGACTAAGGGAAATCTTAACTGCCAAATGTAAAGTGTTGCTAAAAGGCATACCAATTAAACTGGCTTGGACAGTGGAACATTCAAAGCTGGAAAAAAGTGGATCTCTTGTATGGCATGCAATATATGAATGCGCCCCATTCCTATAGCAACCATCCCTTCAATAAATGAAGTAGGGGTAGTCCTCGACGTACAACAGTTCATTTAGTGACCATTCAAAGTTACAACACCACTGAAAAAGGTGACATTACCATCTAGCACGCTTACGACCTTTGTAGCATCCCTATGATCATGTGATCAAAATTCAGATGGAATAAAATAGAACAGAATAGAATAGAATTCTTTATTGGCCATGTGTGATTGGACATACAACTGGTTCATACTTACGACCACTGCTGTGCCC